GTTCATATGCATTCCACTCTGTATTGGAACTATTGAAGATAAATGATCTGTAAAAAACTTTTCAAACTACAGAAAAGCTGAACCCCAGTCTCAGATCAAATACATACAGTTAGTAACATGAGTTGACGATGATCCAGAAACATATGGAACAAATATTACAACAGCAGATATTAGTATGCTGATGTGATATTTTTCCTATGTTTATGTTTATAAACCATAAAAAATGTGAATTTGGAAGAACAAAATACGATTATGAAAACAAATATTGGAACATGAACAGTATTGCTGTAATAAAATCCTTTAAAACTGCTGTTTAGAAGATGGCTATTCAAATAGATAATTACACTGAAAAAATACTTCAGAGCACAACCTATAGAGATCTGTTCATGCTTTGTGCAATTAGTCAGACTTACACTGTGGTTACTAAATTGATTTTTGATACCTGTCTTTCCTGCTTATGACCTTGACAGTCATGGTTGCTCTGCTCAGCAGTGCTGAAAACTGTTGTGCACCTTGTGATTCAATAAGAAGGCCTGGAAACGCTTTACTTTCTCATAACAGCAACATAAGGAACACAGTGTTCTTAGCTCCCTTGACTCTGTGAACAATCCTGGTGTCATGACAGATTACTATAGTTTCCATAAACACGCTTTTTGTGGTTTGGTAAGAAAGCTTCTTCCCTGAAGGTATTTTGTACGTGGTGCTAGTAGCATCCTCTGTTTCTTAGTAGCGCATTCCTATTTACTTGGAATAGTCATGCTTTTTACAGTTTCCTGAAGTATTTTTAGAATAATTTTAATGCTACCAGAATCTCTCATTATTGCCCCAAATATTTCTAAAGCTGCCTATCATCTGGAAAAGTCTTAAAATGCAGTATGTCGGTAGTTTATTCTTCATTAATGCTTAAATAAATATTTAAGTGTTTTATTGTAATGTCTATTTATCATCTTCTTCTGTTGTAACTGGCCTTCGTTTTATGTTATTGTCTAAAATAGCTGAGTTAATACAAAGTTCCATAAAAGGTATTTTTACAGCAAATATTCTGAAATAGAAGTGAAACATTTTTCTTACTTTAGACAAAACCGTTTTAACTGTTTTATTAGTTCTTGGCTTAAATAGGAAGCAATCATGAAATTAAAATGCTGCATCTTGTACCCTGGGTAAATATTTGTGTTTCAATTTTTAGCATCAGTATTTTGATGAATCTAATTAAAGAATATAAAATTATTGGTACTTTTGCTTAAGTGCTCAAAGTGTATATCAGGATGAAACTATTGATGAAGCTATGTGGTTTCATGTGTGTTTATATATGTAAGTGGTCTGCAACCTCCTGTGTTGCAGAAAAGCTTTCTTTGTGTGGGAGAGAATACGAATACACAGACGTGTATCTAAATGCAGAAAGAATTGTCAAACATGTCAGATGCTTTAGATGATAGATCAGTTGCATGTGCTGTCACAGACACAAGCGCTGTGCGAAACGCCAGCTGCGGTCACACACATAATGTGCCTTTACAACTTAACTGCTCCATCCGCAGCCACATTTCTGACCGCTGGTGGACATCGCATGCTTCCGTCTGCCCTGCTCCTGCACGCACTCTGCTTGTTGGTAAACTTCCAGTTAGAACCAGAGTGTTAAAATGTAACCATGGGAACAAATGGTTATGAACCTATTTTCTACTAAGTGAAGTCATTAATTCCAGGATTGCTCGTTATCTAAAAATTAGGCTCCAGTCCCATTGCGAGTTACTGCTTGCGGTAGGTATTATGTTAAATTCTGATTTCTAATGCTTCCAGCTTCAGGAGACCCCAGGCTCCAACCCACCGATCAGGGCAAGGGTTCTGAACAGAACGTGCAGTAGGTCTCTGCGGGCAGTAGCCAACTTCCTAAATTATTACCCTACCGATCAGGTCAGTTATGTGGCCTCTTTAGTTCACGGGGCATAGTGCAGGCTCCTTACTGAAGGTTGCATGTGCTGATGGCCTTCAGCTGAGTGCTGGTCACACCTCCCGTGTACGGCTAAACCAGGCAGAACTACTAAGCTTGAGAAGGACAGAGCAGTAGGACTTGTCATTCCTTTCCTTATTTTATATATTAACTGACAAACGTACTTTTCCATGTACTTTTTCTGCGAGCTTTTCTCAATGCAGGGGCCTCAGTTGTTGAGAAAGAAACAATTATTCCAATAAGACCAAGGATTCCAATTATTCCAAGGGTTTGGCCTATGACTAGTTACAGGAGTAAAACAGTAAAACTCTATTGACAGTGGTGTGCAAAGATTGGATTAGAAAATCACACTTCAATACCTCTTTTAAGGCTCCCTGCTAGCTTTGATTTTCTTGTACAGGTTTTACAGTTCTTTTCAAACTGTACATGAAATAGCTGTATCTGAGAAAGATACCTCTGTCCTACCTTTTTTACAAAGTTTTTCCCACATGCCTGTTTTATTTTTTACTAGGTGAAAGAAAGACAACAGTCTCCTGCACAAAGATTATGAACAAGAATATCAGTCTTGTGGACAACAAGAAGTGCAAATATTTAACAAAACCTGAACCGCAAGTCCGCAAGTGCAATGAGCAGCCATGCCAGACCAGGTAATAGTGATTTGGTTAAATTAAACTGAAATATCTAGTTGTAAAAATCTTAGGAGCTAAGAGAGATGACTGCCTCTGGTAATGAGCGTGCAGTAAATACATACATCCAAAAGGTTATAAGGCAAAATGTAGAACTGGCTGTTGTTTCTCATGAGTTTTAATGAAAGAGCCTTTAAGCACCATGCCTGAATCAATTCTTATTCGATAAAGCAGGTCATTGCTTTCCTCAGGAAGAGTTCTCACAGGCTGATGTGTACCACGAAATTGAAATGTAAATGCTGTTTATATAAAGATGGATTTCATCCCATGCTTTTAATGAATTATATATTTTAGTGTTTGTTCAATCAAGGCTTCGCTCCTTTAAAAGCTCTTAGTAAGCTCTGGATGCACTAAGTAGTAAATAAAGAAGTAAATAAATAAAAACCTGTTCATCAGGTTTTCTACACTGATGCAACTTGAAGTATAGAGACCCTTTCTCTCACTCCTCTCCTCCCTCTCCCCCCATCCCTTTCTATGTGGATCAACAGGCGGGACTAGATTCTGATGGTGGGTGGCATGGTGGAAGAAGCAGGAGGATCTTTTTTTCACTGAATGTCACCCCAGGAGGCAGCTGCAGCATACAGCCTGTGCCCTACAAAGCCCACCCCATTTGACGTCCCCGCAGCCACTCTGGCAGCCTGTTCCTTGCACTGGCTGGCCAGGCTGGCACGGTGACCCATTTCAGAGTTTGGCATCCTGTTTCCACATGGCAGCTAAGAATTATTACTAAGGAAGTCCTCAAATATTGTGTGGGCTTGGTTAAAGTATCTGCCACCTTTCGAGGGAGGGGAGAGCAGCTAGCAATAGTTGGTTTGCATCCCCAGGACTAAGCACTGGGACAGGTTTACTGCAGTCATCTGGAGGAGAGGAAGGTGGTAATTTTAAAGAAAACAATACAAAGTAAATAAAATGCAAATAGTATTGAAGAAAGTATGTAAAATGAACCAGAAGACATAGCTTTCTTGGGAAGGATGAAATACTGAAATTGATAAAATGCAAGATATGATATGTTTTAAGTAAGACCAAACCACTGAGGTCTGGACTTCACCAGACTAGGTGCATTACACTTTGGAGGGATTATTTGTATTTTATTATATACATACTTGAACAGATCTTTATTTTATTTTATGAACATCACTGTGCACTTACTGGTTAGAAATTAAATAGTCTGATCTTTTTCTGAGGCATTGTCAACTATAAACTTTCAATGTTCTATACTCTTTCCAGATTATTAAATGAAACATTTTAAATGTTGCTAATTGCTACTCAGAAATGCTGTGCTGAGAAATGTAGAAAGACATCATGATCCTTAACATATATCCAGGTTTTTGTACAGTGTTAGTGATTATTACAAAACAAACAGTTAGCTTTCAACAGAAATGTAACTAAAGCACATGCTTGCACAAGTAGTTGTTTGTTATTGGTACTTGAAGAAGTGCCTTAAACTCTGTTGAATTATCTTGACAGGCTGTGATTTGTAAATTGAGTCTGATAATAAAAAACCCTTAGTTAACTGTTTTATTTTCTTACAACAAATGAGTGGCAGAAGATTGGAACAGATTTGTTAAATCTCAGTTTCCTAAAAACTCTCCCATGCAGTCTAAATCTCCTGGGATACACTTCTGTACTGCATCAGTGGCAGAGCTGTTTGATTTTTAAGGGCACATGGCCATAGTCTGGAGCTACAGAACATTTTGGGAAAATTATATTCCAGAACGATTGCTCTCCAGGTATATGGCTCTGCCAAGCTGCGTCAGCCTTCCTTGCTGTTGTGATTTAAACCATGCAACCCGAGTTAGGCCTGACCCTGAAGAATATGAAGAAGTCTGAGCTTTCATATTTCTTCCAGAGCAGAGAGCCTTTCACATAGGAGTGATTCCATCTTGCAATTAAGTATTTTCAAAGAATGCTGGACTTCACGTGCATGGTGTGCACTTGACGTATAAGTAGTCATATAGATAGAGAATAATAGGCTGATCGGTGATTGTCATCTTTAAAACACGTGTATTTTGGAGCTTTTCTAATTGGAATTATAATGAGATTAGAGTACTGTGAAAATGCAGTGACAATGGGCTGGGAAATGAAATGATATGAACATTAACACCTTATTTAATGTAAATGTTAGATTAATTAATCCATTAACAAAGTGAAGTAAAAAGGAAACAGAAAAACAGAAAAAATGCAAGTATGTCTTGCATGTGTGTACTGGTAAGCAAGAGAGTAAGATGATGTGATGGTACTTATCCTTTCCTGATTTCTTGTTACTGCATTGCCTCTATTTCTTTGCAGATGGATGATGACAGAATGGACTCCGTGTTCAAGGACATGTGGAAAAGGGACACAGAACAGACAAGTAGCCTGCACACAGCAGCTCAGAAATGGGACCCTGATCAGAGCTAGGGAGAGGGATTGCCTTGGGCCAAAGCCCGCTTCTGCACAGCGCTGTGAAGGCCAGGACTGCATGACTGTGTGGGAGGCAGGAGTCTGGTCCGAGGTACTGCATTTATTTATAAAAACAGTCTATAGTGTTTATTTATGCTATATGATTGCTAAAAAGTGATTACTGTTTTCTGGGAATATGATTTTTTCAGCGGCAAGTGGCACAGCTCAGCCTAATGATTTTCATGGTCCTCATGCAATAATTTGGCAAAGGCATCAGGGACTAGGAAAACCATCCATGCAGAACTACTACATTTTACCTAGTTAATGTCCTGGAACAGTTTATTTTGGCCAGTTTTCAAGCACGTATAATCAAGTATGTCCTGACCGTGGTTGTGGGTAACTAGGGGTAAATGGAATTAAGGCCATCACTTAGCAGTTACCAGACCTTGGGTTCAGAGTAGGAACATCTCTGACATACTTTTGTACCAAAGGATGTTGATAAGCAGATGGTTGCTGCCATTCTGCTTGAGAGAGACTATGAGGGGAGCTGCTTGCAGAGGATTTTCCTTCCCTTCCTCTCTTTTCTCACCTCTTTTTCTAAGAACAGCACAAGCAGTGGGCAAAAGGCTTGTAAAATAACACTATTTCACGTATGTTGCATCCTGAAGCATTGCTGTAGAATGCAATTATTATTCAAATAACCTTATTAATTTCAGATCTGTTGTGAGAAGAGTGGTATTCACTTACAGAGGTGCAAGACAGAAACCCAGATTGTTTAGTTGGTTTGTTTTACTTGAGACATGAGAAACAAGTCAGCATGTTGTTGTTGTAAGCAATAAATATATTTTGAAGAGTGAGGTGTTTCCCACGGCCATTCCTACTATCACCATTATACTGGAAGCTAGCCATTACTGCTTCCTGCAGTTATAATCAGCTTGGCAAAGGAGAGTTTTGATCTGCAAGACGTGGGATGATCAAAAGCAGTGATAATGTTTTGAGAAGGAAATGGCATAATTTTTGGCAGTGTGAGAATGGTGGAAAAAACATAGATTAAGACCTTCTGTGCAACTTGAAGGGAGTTTTCACATGCTGTATATGCAGTGACTCTGAATTTTCAGATTCAGTCTGGATTCTTGCATAGTTTTAGAATATTTACTTTTCCATTTTAACTTTTTTTCCCCTCCCAAAAAAGTTCTGTTATACACTAGCGGAGTTTTTCTGAAGTTGCTTCATATCTTATTCTTACGGACTTTATTTAGATTTTCTTTCATTGTATTTCCTTTCATTCGTAGAACAGAAGTGGGCTAATATTTTCAGTATAACATTTTGCACTCACTTCTTCATAACTTTTCAGACGTTTTCTTACCCAAAAGCCTAGTTTTTCCTTAAACAAATATTTTTTGATCTAACTATATATTTTAGGTGAAAATGCAACAGTTACCATTCTGCCCCATAAGGAATTTTTGTTCATTTGTTACTTTTTAACAAATTCAATGTCTGTGTAATTGAAGATTGGAAGTCAGAAATCACTGAAGTCTTGAAATACTTATGTTAGCCTGGCAGAGGTCATTAGAAGGGGATAAAATGGGGTAACTATCACTTTTTCTAGAAACCTGAAAAACATCTTTTTCCAACAGTGCTCTGTAAAGTGTGGTAAAGGAGTACGGCATCGGACTGTGAGGTGCACCAATCCCCGCAAGAAATGTGTTTTGTCCACAAGACCTAAAGAAGCAGAGGACTGTGAGGACTATTCCAAATGCTACGTCTGGAGAATGGGAGACTGGTCTAAGGTGAGGCATCCTTGATACGAGTGCCCCACAGCATAATACATTTTGCAAGCTGAGTTCTTTGTAAGAATTGCTTTTACCAGAAGTGTAGGAGTCTCCCAGCTGAGGGAACAGTAAGGCTAAAAAAAAAAAACAAAAAACCCCCAAAACATCTAGTCACACTGAGACCACAGTATAAATAAAAACCAGAAATATGAAGAAAGCGTGAGATTAATCTTCAATATCATGCAAATCTGGTGTAAATTTACTGTTATCAGTAGGCAGGCAAACAACTCCTGAAACTGCAGCTCGCTCCAACCTCACAGTTTGCACATTTCATTAAAGTTATGTTTTCACATTTTATTTGTGTTTCCAATAAGTTACACCCTCCAGCCTTATAAGGAAGCACCTTCCGCCTATTAAATTTCCACATAGACCATTTAATATCTAGGAAGCATCTATTACTGTCTATTCTGAACACTTGACTTAGCTATCAGTACGTTATTTCCTTGGCATATGGGTTTTGATTTCAGTGAGGTACATAAGCATAGACCAAACTGTAACAGAAAACATTGGTTATATCTGTGATTGTGTTATTGGACTGGGACCTTGAACATCTGATACAATTTCAGCTGTCCAAAACATGATGAAATACTGAAATTGAACCTTGTCAAAGTTTTCTCTTGCCATATCACAGACCACACTTTAGCAGAGAGATGGTAATCTTTCTTTTTTCCCCTTGCTTCTCTTTATAACTTTGCACACAATACTTCTACTTTCAGTGCCTGACATTATTGCAGCAGTTTTTAACTTGCTTGTATGGAGAAGTATTTAATGTATTTTTAGTTGTCTTTCATGTGATGTAACAGCTGGAAACAAGGACTAAAGCCAGCAGTGTATGACTAGCCAGCCTTCCAAGAATTAGCTGCGAGTACTCTGTGGGCAACTAGTGTTTCGTAGAATTCTGCTTGGGAGCTCCCATTTTACAACAATGGGGTACAAATTGTCACTATCACGTTACTATTTATTTAATTTTCTTTACTTTTTTTCACATTTGAAAGATAAAGGATAGTGTCTTTTTTTTTTTTACAGTAATGATCATTTAAATTAAAATATTTGGAAATATTTTGGAACAGCCTCACAAAAACTGGAAGATACCCCCCCACCTTAGTTACTTCAAAAGCACGAAGTAGTATAACCATCAATTTTTTAAACAACAGAAGGAACTAATCTCCAGAAGCAGGGTTACTTTTACAAGATGATGTTTTTTGCAATAAAGTTTAGTATTTGCATTTCCATACCACAGAACTGCAGTAAAAGCCTGCATTATTTAGCACTAGCACCAGCAGGGAGTATATTATGGAGAAATGACAATCTGCTTTCTTCGTTGAAGCAGTCATTCAAATCAGAGTTGCTGAGGCTGTGTGGGGATGCTGAGGCAGTTACACCGTGTTCTCAATGCCCTCTGGAGAAAAGAGGTTTATCCTTTAATTCAGTACTTTTCACAATCATCCATGTCATAGATGAATGTACAAGAACTTACTTCTTTCTGTTCAAAATTTACTTGACTTCTTGTATGTTCTTCTTTCCTTCTACAGGCAAAGCTGTAACACTGTCGCCTAAATTGTACTTTAAACTTAGGAGAAGTTAAAACTTAAACTTTAAAATTTTAAACTTAAAATTAGGAGAGGAGGAAATATTTCATATGGAATTGACAAAACCTTTTGAACAGTTAAACATACAGCCTGACTGTGACTTGTGCAGATGAAATTTTCCAAGATTTATACCAAAAAATAGATACTTTAATTCCTCTACTGAGACATGAGTTCAATTTAAAATATACTTGGATTTCCTTTTTTTTTCCCTGTTACTGTTCTGTTCCATTGCTAGAGTACATAGCAACATGAAGTCATCTTAATATGTCTGCAATGGGGGAAACAAATGGAAAGCTCAGATAAATGTTAATCATTGCTCACTGTTTGTTTCTAACTCAGAAGTTCAGTGCAGCCTTCTGTGTTCACTGTTTTTACTCTTTAGGATTGTTCTTGACATTGACAGAAGGCTGTTCCTTTGATCAGAGCCAAGTTCCCCCAAGCTAATGCCAAGACTTGGCTTGAAAAATTTAAATGACGCTTCTCACACATTGAAACAAGAGGCTTAATGTGATCCTTATTGGCTTTGCTGCTCCCCTTGAACTCCTAAGTCATAATTTTAAATGACGCTTAAATTGCGCTATTACCGAAAAGATAACATTATTAATAATCATAGCACTGGTGTAATGGAGTTATTTTGTTTTAGAGGTACAGTCACATAGAGATCAAATAATTCTTCTGCTCAATGTTTTAACAATAATAACAAGATCAAAGGAAATTCTACCAAAATTGCAAGCTTCAATAGAGTCAATAAACACATCAATCCTTCTGTAACTCTGACTTAATTTAAAAGTATGCTGTACAGCCTGGCCTGTATGCAGCATTAACTCCATAATAGCTCTTAAGTCAGCAAGGTGGCTCAATACGCTAAACATTGCTGTTCTTAACATCAGTTGGGCTCTGTGCCTGCCCTCGTGAGGAAAATTGAGTGTGATGAGAAAGTAAAGAATAAAGGCTCCAACTGAGTTTCTGGAGCCAGCACCTAGGGCAACATTACCAATTACATTGCCTTTTCCCAGTTAACACCGTCCTTGGAATACCATACTTAACAATGTAAAAGCTACCTTCAGGTGAGGTACTGTCTTGCCATTTAGGGTGAGGCATAACTTAGTCTTACTAGTAGCAGTGTCCTTTACTAAACATCCCATTGCCATCCATTTCAAGGCTATACAAGGACAAGGTCACACTCAGAGGAATTAATCATCTACGTATAAACAAGTAGGCAGGGGAGAGGTGAAATGAAATGCATACGAACTGCATGTTTACACATCTACCTGGCTTACTGGAGAAGTTCACATCACTGTAGAAGTCATTCTCCAAAAAAGACTTGAATTTATCAACAGCATTGAGTGCTCAAAGAGCAGGTCTAGGGTATTTTATTTAGGAAGCTGTGTATATTTTTTTTTTTGGTAGTATCTAGAATATTCAGAACATTGGTGGAATAAATGAAGCATGAGAGGCAGGATGAATTCTGGAAGGGAGAGTAATTTGGAAAGTGGTTTTTGAAAATAATAATTAAAAGCTTAAATTTGCATGATACTATGCCAGAAACTTTTGGAGAGATTCGTCAGGGGATAATAGAATCAAAACACTGGGTAACAGAGTAGAATTTAGGAGCTGTCATTGGTGAGATGAAGAAATACAAAATATTTGTGTATAGGAGACCAGAGAAGTGGTCTAATATGGTATAATATGGTGTAAGTTCTAAAAAGACATTTGGCTATGGAAGCTGAAAGGAGGATGCATTCAGTAGAAACTAAAGCAGCAGCAGCAACAGGATTTCTAAACAGTATCTGTGTTAGGCCAGAGATGCAGAAGAGGCAAAAACAACATCTGGGGTAATGGTCCAAATGGTTAGGATGGAGTTCACTTTGTCTGTAGCCTGAAGAAACGAATATGAGGAACAAAAGTTAATCTGCTAAATTTTTTCCAGTGAGTCTGAAAGGACATCTGAAGCAACTGCTTGTTTTTTGCACTGAGTCCCAGAATCCATGGCCTATTCCAGATTATTTATTTAAGACAGTACATGCAGTGCTGTCTAGAAAGTGTGTGTTTCAGGGGGAAGTCAAGTCTGCAGCTTTGGGGAAGAGACAGAGTGAACCCAACAGGTCACAGAGAGATCTCCCAGTTGAGTGGTACAAAAAGCCACTGTCAGTGATGAGGATTGCTTCACTTCTGTTCCAATCAAAGAACATGTGAAAATGGAGACAGGAAAAAAAAAAACTTTTTTCCAACTATTCAACAGCTCGGGGCATTCAACCTTTAAACTGTGTACTTAAACATTTAAATAACCCTTAAATTTTCATAGCAAATAAACTCAACTGTTTTAGTCTCCTTCAATTAAAAAAAATGGAATTTGGATAGTATTAATGTTATAGTTTTACTGACAAGGTAATTAGCCTTGGTTTTATTCTTTGGATCCCCGTCCAAAACTGTTAGCTCTTTTAGATTCCAGGAATGGAACAGAGCTGGCCATGAGTCAAAATATGGCACTATTAATAGATTTATGGACAAAGAAATTATGTGACTTTTGTGAAATAATAGAAGTCAAAATAATCCTGGCATCATGTTAATAACTTTTATATTGACTTAGTTATACAGTTAGTTTCCAGCAAATGAGGTATGTCTTTGTTTCAGAAATGCAGTTCAAGCAAATAATATTGGAGATGTCAATATAATAAGAGTGGGGAGGGGTTTTGTACATTTCTAACTAATTCTGTAATATTAACATCATTCGTTTCAGGTAAAGTTTTTTTTTTATATACATCAATGTGCTGTAGTACTTTGCCTGCAATAAATGTAATGTCATGTTAGTTTCTAGAAAAACAGAACAAGAGCAACCTTAATAATAGGCAAAGGCACAGATAAGAGTGGAAAGGATTTTAAAAGTAGACATTACCCGTTTTGCACACACACAATAATCACACATAAATGGGAAGTTCTGGTATCTGCATCACACTTAAATCTACTGGGACATCTTTGCTGGTTTTCTGCTACAAGCCTCTG